AGTTTTAGCCACTTTTGTGTTCACTTTACTTCTCTTTCTTCATTACATGCTTCTTTCTCCTAGTGGTGGACATCATCCAAATTCTTTATCTTGAGTCTTCCCTTGCTTTGATTTCTTTGTCTTTATAATTGAAAGCCTCAAATTTGAGAAAGTCTGAGAATCTCTTAGCTTGGTAAAAGTTCATATTTCAAGGTCTACGCTGAGAGAGTGGGAAGTAGTAGGGCTTGGGTGGGTCCTGGAGATGCATTTATAACAAGTTCCCAAGGGTACCTGCAGGCAGGTGGTCTGTGCATCACTCTACGTGTCCCTTCCTGGTTGATTAACATTTTTATTTTATTTTTTTTCAGTGCCAGTTCTATGCCCATTACTGCTGTAGGAACTGAAAATAGAGTGGAGACCCAAAGAATGGTCCTCCCTTCATGGAGAATGCATGCTGTCCTTCCCTCCATTGGATCTTCCACGACATCATTTGAAGATCTCCGTGGTTAGGCTGTCCTGGAAATTCCTACTCAATGTGTTCAAAAGGCCATTTCTTATTCTCTCTTGACATATCAGCTGCCCTCCACCCTACCCTGTCCTTGACTTTCCTGCGTCCATCATGGTTCTGGCATTCTTCTTCCTCCTTCTTCCAGTTGCCCACTCTCTGTGTTGTCTGTGCATTATCTACTCTAATCGTGCAGGTATCATGCCTTTTTGATTCTTCATTCACATCAGTTGTCTCTTCTCATATCTCTGGTTAATCACAAACAAGATCCTTAGAAGTTCATGCTAAAAGCCTGCAGAAGACACTTCATTTGCTTCCCTGTCTGCTGTCTTTTCTTATTTTAATTTATTCAAATTGATCTTCAAGTGCTGTGTTTCTGAAACTGTGACAAGCACTAGAATTATCTGGAAGTCCTGTGAAAATTAGATTCCCTGTTCATTGCTCTGCAGGGTCACTTGAGGTTGGGCAATCTCACATGCTGAGGCGGGTGGTTCATGGCGGTCGCTTTGAGAGGCAGGTCCTAGAATACACTGTTTTTACTTTGTAAGTCTCCTTCCTTTTTCTCCTTTGGCTGTCACCCATCAGCTTCAACCCTGAAATTTAGAGTGGCATTTAAAGCTTAAACCTGGCAGGGGTCTTCTCATTGAATTTTTTTCTCCTCCTTCTTAGATTCCTTTCTTTGCTTCACAGGTCTCCTTCCAGCCCAATTCCCCCATCTTTGCTTTTGCTACCTTTCACATCAGAAATGTTGTCATCTTTCCCTTGATTCTTTTAATCTTTACCTAACTGATATGGTTTGGCTGTGTCCCCACCCAAATCTCATCTTGAATTGTAGTTCTCATAATCCCCAGGTGTCGTGGGAGGTAATTTAATCATGTAGGCGGCTAGTCTTATGCAGTTCTCGTGATAGTGAGTGAGTTCTCATGAGATCTGATGGTTTTATAAGGGGCTTTTTTCCCATTCGCTTTGCACTTCTTCCTGCCACCACATGAAGGAGAATTTACTTGCTTCCTTTTTTACCATGATTGTGTTTCCTGAGGCCTTTCTAGCCATGCTGAACTGTGAGTCAATTAAACCTTTTTCCTTTATAAATTACTCAGTCTCTGGTATGTCCTTATTAGCAGTATGAAAACGAACTAATACACCAACCTTCAAGTTAAACTAAAGCTCTGTCTCCTCTACTTCCCCAGGCTACAAGTATCTAGCCAGTCTCCAAATTCCCAACACACCTACTTCCTGGTGCATTCCTCTGATATGTCTTACTAGCTGCCAATTTAATGGTGTGTTTACTGCCCATCTAACTAGACTGAGCATCTTGTGACCAAGACTTCATATTATTTATATCACACTCCCTGGCACATAATTAATATTAAACAAATAACACCACTAATATTTGTTTTCATATTTTATCGATGGAAATCAGGGCTTTTGGTTGAGACCACTAAGTTTTTTGGAGACATCATCAAAGGTACTTACATTTTCCTATAGAAGGACACATGCTTGTCCCTCTGCCAGAAATACTCCCTTTATACACAATTGTCCTTTGCGTGGTTAACAATGGCTTATCCACTGGGTCTAAGTTTAAAACTCCCTTCTTCAGAGATGTCTCTGACCATCCAGATTAATCTAGTTCTCTCTGATATCATTTGCATAGCACACTATACTCTCTCATAGTATGAATCACACTTGAAATTAGTAATTTTACTATCTTCTCCAACTATTTGTATTGTAAGAGGATTATATATCCTTGCCTGTTATCATATGACCTACAGTTCTTTTCTATGGGAAGAGTGTATTTCCCCACTCCATTTATGTTGCTTCTGGCCATGGGACCTCATTTAGCCAATGAACAAACACAGTGAAATGCACCATTTTTAGCCATCTCTAGTTAAACACCTTACTGGAGGAGTAAATTCTGTACCAGTGGTTCTCAACTAGGGCTTGATTTTTCTTCCCATGGGACAATTGGCAATATCTGGAGATCTTTTTGGTTGTCACGTCTGGGGGTCATGCTGCTGACATTAGTGAGTAGAGGCCAGGGATGCTGCTAAACATCCTACAATATGTAGAATAGCTCCCCATGAAAAGGAAGTATCCAGCCCTCAATGTGAATGGTACCGAGGCTGAGAAACTGGGCTATACACCAATGTCATCTGAGAAAAACTCTACTCCAAGTGTGAAAATGAGCTTTGAAATAAACATCCATTCACTAGTTTAGTGTCCTAGATTTTACAATCTTTCTGAACCTTATTTTTTTTTAATCATTTGAGAAGTGTGTATGATAACTCTACCCTCAAGAAGATGTTGTAGAGATTAAAGAAAATATTGTTAGGTAACGCGACTGGCATATTGGTCTTCAAGAATGCTAGGTCTGTCTCCTGTCCTCATTGATGCTATGTCAAGATTTATTACACACAATCAAGTTTTTTTTCAGAGTCTCGCTCTGTTGCCAGGCCTGAGTGCAGTGGTGCGATCCCAGCCCACTGCAACCTCTGCCTCCCGCCAGGTTCAAGTGATTCTCCTGCCTCAGCCTCCTGAGTAGCTGGAACAACAGGTGCGTGCCAGCACGCCCAGAGTAGCTGGAACAACAGGTGCATGCCAGCACGCCCAGCTAATTTTTGTATTTTTAGTAGAGACGGGGTTTCACCATGTTGGCCAGGACAGTCTTGATCTCCTGACCTCATGATTCGCCTGCCTTGGCCTCCCAAAGTGCTGGGATCACAGGCGTGAGCCACCATGCCTGGCCCAATCAAGTGTTTAATCCTTTAAATAACATTAGGATTTGTGCTAGTATCTTTAAAATATTACTCAGACCATGGCAGCAGGGATTGGGGGTAGAGTATCTATTATTTGTGCTGCCTGACTAATTCTGGAGACTTGGACCCAGACTTTGGTGGGTTGAATCCAAAGGTCCAGAGGCTTTGTTTGTGTTCCCCAAGAGGGCAGGCAGCAGAGCCCATGTGTTCTTTAACTAACTGGGTCTTTCTGTTTGCAATGGCAATGGGAAACAGGGAAAATTCATAATAATTCTTACAATGATTATGTGCTGCGATCTTTAGCCGGAATGATCCCTTGGAATGAAAAGCTGATACTATCATGCCTTTGCTTACATCCCTTCAGTGGCTTGTTTTCCTTGGAGCCTGTAAAATCAACGTCCAAATCGTTCCCATGACTTAGAATGGTCACAGTCTGTCTCTTGTCCTCCCTACTCTAGTGTCCCCATATTGTCCACGGATCTCAGAATATGTCATGCCTTCTCTAGTCTCAGGGTCTTTGCACAGGAAGTTCCCATGTGATAAAATGCTTTTTCCCCTTCTTTTCACCTTTATAACCTCTACTTATCTTCCTGTTTTATGCTATAGTCTCTGTCAGAGAAGATTTTCTCAAATCCTCTAAACAAGTCAGGTCATTTCACCCTGTATTTCCACCATGCCCATTCTCAGAGCTGATGGCAATCAGTAAAACTCTACACCTCACTGTATGCTTACCAGTTAAAACACTGAAGACAATACTTTTGTAATTGTTGATGATTTATTACTGCTCTGAGCCCCCAGTGCCAAGCCCTGGCCACACTGGCCTTCTTTGGAACATTACCTTTTGCCCACTCCCCATTACTCCAAAATCAAGCAACTAAAGGTTGTCTGGCACCATAGCGGACTTTCAGACTCCTGATGTGAGGTTACAGCCAACATTCATTTGGATTGGCCCATATAATCCCTGCTCATATTTCTGCCTTAGGATTATTTGTCTCATAATCATGTTATCGAGCAGTGATTATTTGTCTTTCTGGAAACATTCTAAAATCCAGAAAGCAGGGGTGAGTTTTAGAGTATAGTGGACCTACAATCTGAAATACACAATATGCACTTCTGTTAACTGCTTCTCTTATTTAATCCTCGCAACTCCATGTGGTAAGAGTTGTCCAGTCTTTCTATTTCACAACTGAGGCTTCAAAAATAAAAGAGATCCATGTTGAAGGGAGAGGAAAAGAAGAAGACTCCTAGGACCGTAGGCCTGGGGCTGTGTTATCCCAATGCCATCATCTCAGGATATGATGGGAGCTGCTAGGTGTAGAGATAGCTCCTCTTTGGAGAAACCTCCATGAAATGGTTTCAGGGAAGGTCATTGTGGTTATGTCCCAGAAGATTTGCCCTGCAAGTGAAACAGAAGTTTCTCGTGGAGATGTGGAGGGGGCTGCCCTGCTGTGTCAGAAAGTGGATACTCTATGGAACCAAACCCATTATAATGAGATAAGGTTGAGGCTGCTGTTGGATCTTTACCCATTGTAGCTTCCATTTGTATGGTAAGCAGCTGCTAAGATGGCCCCAGATATCACCGCCTTGCAATAGTCCTGTCTTTGTGTAATCTACTCCCTGTGAGTGTGGGCTGGATATTCTGGCTCTCTTCAGGTAAACAGATGATTGAAAAAGTGATGAAATGTCACTTCTAAAATTAGGTTACAGAGAGAATGTGGTTTCGTTTTTGCTCACTCCCTCTTACTCAGGGAAACTAGCTGCCTTTTTATGTACTGCCCTATGGAGAGGCACACATGTCAAGAAACTGAGGGAATGCCTTCCAGCCAACAGCCAGCCAGGAACTAAGGTGCTCAGTACAGCAGCCTCCACAAGACTGAATAATGCCAACAGCTATTTGATTGTGCTTGGAAGAAGATCTCCATTTAGTTGAACCTTCAGATGAGACTGCAGCCCTGGCCAGCAAACAAATTGCAGCCTATGGAAAGACCTTAAGGCAGAGACACCCAACTGAACCACCCAAGGGCTCTGACTTACAGAAACTGTGAGCAGTAAGTGCCTATTTTTTTAAACCACTACACTTTGGGGATGGATTGTAACACAGCTATTGATAACTAACAGAGTTTGTTACGTTAGTATTTTAGTCTGCTTTTTTAGCTGCAAGATAAAACTAACCCCTTCACATAAACAGTTAGATTTCAACTCTACAGGTTCAGTTTTGACTTTATAGATAGCTACTAATGAATCTACACATGAATGTCAGGTTCCCCTAACATAGAAGAGAGGCCTACTATGTACAGGATTATGGACTGTGAATTTCTAGATATAAAGACTTTGTCTCATTCATCTCCGTACCCCAGGGCCTAGACCAAGCTTTATCCTATCATAGCTATTTAATATCTACGGGTCGATTTAAATGACCTAGTTACCAGACAGCTATTATGACCCACGTTTTACTGATAAAATAAGAGAAGTACCTAGAGTTTAAATGATTCAGAGAAGGTCATGTGAATGGTGTCAGGGCTTTCACCCAAATTCTCAGGCTGCCATCTGTGTATCCCAGAGCTTCCTTAGTGGGTAAAATAGCCTATTACAGACTAGAATGGCAATGTTTTCCTTCCATCGCAACATACTAGCTCAAAACAAGCAGGTGGCTTTTTTTTTTTTCTTTTTAAAGAAAAGCAATGTTTTATTAAAGGATTGTCTTCCAAAAAGGCTTCGTTACTCCTTTTCTTCCCTTTAAGCATAGTGAAATGGCCTCTACCTTATTTCGAAAGAATTTCTGGGATAAAGTTCTTCAGTGATAACACGTTTGAAGTAAGTAACAATTAAGTTATCTTAGTCCTCACTAATAATGTTCGTGGAGGAATTGGTGTTTCTTTCTGAGTTAATAAGAAACATTTGCAGCCAAACCATAGGACTCTGAAGATAAAGCAATTGGCAAGAAATGGTATGTTTAAATACCAGAAAATAGCCCATATCCAAACAGGTGTGCGAGAAAACAGTATAAATAAACTGCTTTGTATGCAGTTTAGCCCGAGCAGAATTGTGTAGGAAACTTTCCTCCTATTCTGGAAAAACTATAACCAAACCAGGCCGCTTGTATCCTTAGACTGCACAGCTGGAAAAACAGTCCTTGTTCAAACAGCCGAAAGTAAAAGTTGTTTTAATTTTTTTTTAATGGCCAGATAAACAAAACCTTGCTAGAGGAATGACTATACTTGTGCAAATATGGCCTTGAGCTAGCATCTTGTGAAAGACTCACCTCTTTTCAACCTTTAAGAAATATGCCTGCTTCTTTGAATTCGCGATGGTCATTTCATGTTGTGTTAGGATATTTTTAAAAAAATGTTTCTGTTGGTACAGTTGTCTTAACCATCTGGGCACTTGACTTAGGGCATTAAGAATATAGATGCCTAAAAGAAGTGCTTGGTTTCTGTAAGATCTGCTATGTGCACAGGAAACATGGTTTAGAGCTCAAAGGGGTTACAAAAACTGTCCATCTTTTTATGCCATTTCTTTCTGGCCAGGAACAAAGGTAAGACAAGACATTGGTCCATGCCAGAAAGTCTGAAAGTATGTGGGTTAAATGTTTCCAACTGGGCTGTTTGGTGTTTGGGATCATTTGTTCTTTGCCAACCTGTGCCTGGGGGGAAAAAGGCAAAAACAATGGAGACGTAGCCTAAGGTTCCTGGAGATATCTGGTATTTGACATGCCTCAGTGGTGAGGAGCATTTATGGTGTAGTGAAAAGTAAGTGGTCCTCTGCATTTCACAGTCCAAACCCTGGCTTAATCTGACTAACAAGACAATTACTGCTTCTGAGTCTCAGTTCTCCATCTCTAAAATGGCCTTCTATACACAGTTATGAGACTATATGTAAATACATAACTTGTTAGAGGCAATAACACGTGAAGATTACATGCAGTAATACACATGTAATAACATAAATTATCTTATGACGATTATATGCAGTAGCATGCAGCGGCGGTCACACACTGTGTGCTCCATAGATGGTGTCTTATTTGAACGGTTGTTGCTGCTGTCCTCAAGGAGTTTCTCTTTTGAATACATCCCTCCCTCAACACACACAGGCCTAGATCTTTCTGTCTTTGCCCTGGAATGATTATCTATAGATACTGTGTGCAAAGTGAAATTATGCCAAGCGCTATAGAAATGAAAATGACTGAATCAAGGTCAATTGGTGTGGAAGTTAGGAGCATAGGTTCTGGGCCGGGTACAGTGGCTCATGCCTGTAATCCCAGAACTTTGGGAGGCCAGGGCAGAAGGATAGTTTGAGCTCAGGAGTTAAAGACCAGCCTGGACAACATGGCAAAACCCTGTCTCCACACACACACACACACACATACACACACACACACACACACACACAAAGCTAGCTGGGCAGGTGGGCAGGGTGATGCCTGCTTATAGTCCCAGCCACTTGGGAGGCTGAGGTGGGAGAATCACTTGAGCCCAGGAGGTCAAGGCTTAAGTGAGCTCTGGTAAGTGCATTAGGTTGGTGCAAAATTAATTGCAGTTTCAGGCTCTAGTTTTAAACGGCAAAGACCGCAATTACTTTTGTATCAACCTAATACCACTGAACTCCAGCCTGGGTGACGAAGTAAGACCCTGTTTCAAAAAAAAAAAAAAAAGGTGTAGATTCTAAGCTCAGGCTTGCTTGAAATTCTGGCTCATTTTCTTTCTATCCAGGTAGCCTTGTTGAGTCTGAATTTCCCTATCTGTAA